GAGCTAGAGAGGATGTGGAAGGTAAAGGTCAAAGTGGTCTCAGTGGTGGTAGGAGCACTTGGAGCTCTGACTCCTAAGCTGGGAGAGTGGCTCCAACTCTCTGTCCAAAAGACTGCAATGCTAGTAAAAGCTAAGATACTGCACAGAACCCTCAAACTCCCAGGCCTCTGGTAAAGAACCCAAGATTGAGAAGGACGCATACCACCCATAGGGGTGAGAGGGGAATTTTTACATGTATCCTGCTTTTTGTCTGTGGAGGTTTTAACAGTATTCTTCTAAAAGAAGGTTGAAATCACATGCAGAGCCTTTGCAGAGATTTGGTCTTTCCATAGGAACAATAATCTTTAATAGCAAAGTCTGTCTTCATAATTAATCGACAGGGAATAGAGAAAAGGCAACATTTTGTGCCTCCAACTCCCCCCCCCCAATCTCCCCCTCCATCTCTACATTTCTGGCTGCCCTGCACCCTGCCCTGCATTCAAAACCACACAGCTCTGGGGCTGCTTGCCATGCCCTGGGAAGCTGCAGCTGCCCCAGCCCAATCCCAGCTGCGGTCGCCCTTGCCGCCCTACGCTCCGCCGCTGTTAGCTGACCTTTGCCGTCTTCTTGCTCTAAAACCCCCCTTTGCCAAAAAGCTACTGGGAGGGGTTGGGCTGGGCTTCTGCTTTGTGCTGCCAAAACCAAAAAAAGCCAGCAGCCCCGCCCCGCCCAGGAGCTTTTTGCAAAGAGGTGTTTTGGCACACGGCTGCTCAGATGCTGCTCCTGGTGTTTGTTTTTTGGTGGTGTGCTAAAAAGCTTTAGCTCTGGAGGGCTAAGGCTGGCCTGGTTGCCCTCTCTTCCTGAGAAGGGAGACCGGTCTACCTGCGGAAAATGGAAGGGAGAGACTTGAAGGGGGCTGCAAGGGCCCAGTTTTCCTGTCTGTCTCAGCCAGAGGACACTCCCACGAGCAAACCGGTCTACCTATGGTGGAAGGGGAAAAAAAAAAAGGAGAAGAAGGGAAGAAGGGGGTGCTGTCTTTTTTTTTTTTTTTTTGGCAGTGTGAAGCAAAAGCCCAGCCCAGGAGCTTTTTGCCAAGGGGCTTTTTTATAGTTTATAAAAACTATAAAAAAGGAAGTCTGTGCTGTAAAGATTATTTCAATAATTATTTCATTTCTCAAAATCTACAGCCAGCAATATGAATGGAGGCTTGTCAGGTGGAAGGAAGACTGCTCTGTATGGCCTGAAGTGGGCTAATTTTGAACATTCTTTTTTTGCCCTATGCCTAATAAAAATCACTAATACTGGGTTTATTGAGATAAGATATATGTCACACGCACACACATACACCGGTTTTGAAATCTATAATGTACTAAGTATGTATTATTCGATATTGGGAACAAATTGTTTTAATGTATTAAAAATGTTTTGGTGGGATTTCATTGTCTTGCAGGCTCTGGTTTGATGAATTCCTAGGCCTTTGGGTTTCAGTTCAAAATCTTCCACAATGGGAAGGGGTAAGTATAGTGTCCCACCTACCTCCCCACCTCCTGTTACTACAGAGATGGTATATAGATAATTGGACTAGAAATAACAGTGCCTTGAAAGATTGTCATAATTTTAAAGTTTTTACTCTTTTACGAGTTGAACAATTATAGTTTTTGGATATTATTTGTCATGCTGTGTGGGGTTGTTTGTTTGTTTTGAATGCTAGTGTTTCTTTAGGCTGAAAATCCAAGCCTGAACTCATGTAATTGCTATAACTTCTAAAACTCTCAAATCGCATCAATGTATATGATATCTCTATGCATATTGTGCAGATACAATATGATTTACCATTAGCATTACAGTGGTAATGATAAATAATATATTCAGCTATCTAAATGTAAATCCCACAAATGGGCTGAAAGTAACAGAATGAAATGTAATTAAGATTTAATGTGATGTATAAATCCAGATAGTGAACAAGTTTAACCAGAACTAGCGAGCCAGTTTCTAACTGTGGTTTATAGCTAGCTTCGTTACTGCTAGAGGAGAAATACTATTCTGCGATAACTAGCCCTGGAAAGAGACGAGTGATGGAACTGCACAAAAAAGAACCTATGCCTAAAATATTTTTGAAATTCTGAAATATTACGACAGTGCTGTATATCCACTGCTCTTTATAACCAACATTTGCTACCCAGCTCACTGTCTGTGAAAATTGTAACATGTATCAGAAATATTCTTTCTCAAGATCTTTCTCCATTTGTTGAGGAGGTTAGGTCTATGTAAACCTTGGCCTTGCTGAACCTGTTTTTTCCTCTGAATAATGGGACAGCCGTGCAGCATAAAACTCTAATCAGGGCCTAATTGAAACTTATCTACTGCAAATGTGTAGCTAACCTTATTAAAACATCTGATGGAAATCTGGTTAGTAGAAGTCATTGTTATTATTTTCTGGTTGTTTTCTAGTTTCTGTGAGAAATCTGTGGCATTCCTGATGTTGCAGCATAATAGCTCCCCACAGCTTCAGTCGGGATTCAGCAACACCTGGAAGGCCACAGGTTCATCATCTCCGCTATATTACCTCAGTCCCAGGATCTACTACTTTACCTCCTAACAAACCAAAAGCCCCTCTCAGTCCTGTTTCTGCATCTCAGTATCATAATTATTCCTTTTCTAAACATTCTGTATGCTTATATTTCTCTTCTTGTTAACTCACTTTCTACCTGTTATGCTTTTCAATATCTCTGGGTAATTATCTGGTTTTTTTGGCTCCATTTCTTCTCTGCAGGAAACCAGTTTTCTCTGCCAATTTTATGGGAATGTCTGTTGTTCTTCAGACACCCGCTTTACTTTTTTGAGCCTGAATGTGGACAAAGTGCTGTTTCCTGCAGGCAGTTCTGTGAATATGAAATACCTCCTCAATTAACAGTACTGTTTACTTGTGAAACTTTAGTGTCAGTTCTGTGCATCTATTCAGTGTTCAAACACCCCTCACAACTTTTGTTGCTATTAAAGTAATTTTCTTCTGGTCACTGATTTGCAACTTTTCAGCTGCTTTATGATTCCATGTTGCATGATGCTGAATATTCCAAAATGTGATCCTACTTCTTGAGGAAGCTACAGAAAAGAGCAGAAATAAACCTTAACACTGTGCTGAATGTCTCTGTTGTATCATGAAAATGTGGTCTGTGCTTTTTTCTTTCTAGCATTTAGTCAACCTTTTTGCACGTTTGGCAACTGATAACATAGGCTACATCAACTGGGATCCCTATATTCCAAAGGTAATATTTAATATGAAAATAATAAAAATACTAACATGAAGATCTGCCAAGTGCTTTCTCTGCTGATAAAACATGCAGTTTTAATACAAAAGAGATACATATTCTATGTTAATTATTTTAGTTCTGAAGATAAAACTTGTGTACCCTGTCCTAAGCATATTTATTACTTTTAAAAGCATTTATCTTGTCAACATAGTTGGAAAGCTGTAATGTATCAATTTTTGTGATTGATCTTGAACTTTTTATTGGAAGGGCAGAATATTTTTTATTCTCTCTCTCTTTCTCCCCCCCCTTCATATTAAACTTCTCTCTTTTTAAAAGTCTAAACTATATTTTAAAGATTTTTGTTGATGTAAAAGAAAAAATGTGAGTAAGAGTGTTATTTCTACTGTTCTATTCCTTTTAAAGTATGGTAAACAACATTACCATACTGGGGTCTTAAATTATAAACTACTATCATGATTTTTGCTGGGATTCCTGTTTCCAAATGTAAAGTATAAAACTTTTGAAGACTTATATGATTCCCAATTGCAGGAATGTGATAGTAATAGGGAAAACAGTGATCTGCTATTTTTATAGATTTTAGCAGCCACAGCAACTGTCGTATTTTATAATTTAACTTCTGTGAACTGAAGCCAATTCAAGCCTTAATTACAATATTTTGTTGCACAGTTTTAAAATTCATTTGGGCTATGATTAGCTATTGCCAGGCTTCTCTGTATGGCCAGTAACACTGAGAGCTGAGTCATCAGATTTAGTGCTCAGAGCAGAATTCGGTTTTGCAGTACTTGATACTTTATTCATTTAAAAGAAAATATCTAGTGGGGTGATTGTATTTCTTTAGCAAGTTATGTAGATGCTTTCCAGATGCTTCTGGCATGCATGGATGCATGCCGACATCTATCCTCCCTCCCTCCCTCTCTCTCTCGAGCTTTAATCAATTTGTCAAGATATGGAAGTGTCTGCTGTGCAATAGGAAATGTGCATTAACAGAGAAAGATCTCAGTATAGATTACTAAACAGGAATTGCAGTTTTCTACCATATGAAATTATTCCAAGAATTTAATTTGGAAAATGTCCCAATAGTTCTGTGCCAACAGCAATGCCATCCCCTTTAATCAAGCTTTTGTTTGCAAATAGAGTATTTTGGAGGCTAGGTTTTGAACTTAGAATGTCTTGATAGTCTGATTACATTTTATAACAAAATTCAAATATTATTCTTGACACAGTTTTGTTATTTAATTCTCAAATGTCTTTTACTGCAGATATTTACTAGAATACTGCGTAGCTTGAATCTTCCAGTGGGAAGCAATCAAGTGTTGGTTCCACGATTCCTAACAAATGCTTATGACATAGGGCATGCAGTTATGTGGATCACAGCTATGATGGTACTATCTTTTTTCTTTTTCATAAGGATCTTTAAGAGGCTGTATGGTTATGTAGACATGTAAATAAGTCAAGTTTTAAATTAATTACTACTTTAACATCAGATTCATGAAAATAACCAAGAGCTAAGATGGCTAGTTTCTTAAAGAAATCTGTGTTCAGACAGAATTATTGTCTTTGGAACTATCTTGGTATACAAAATAGCAGTAACTGCTTTATACAAAGCATATGTCCTCAGGTATGGCTAGGACAGTTCATAAAAAACACCCAAGAGAATTGATGGAATGTCTCTGTCCCTTGCAATATTCAAAAGGGAGCATTATAAGAAATGGTCAGCACACCTTTAATCACATCTTGGCTATAATTTAGTAGAATGTGCTGGGCAGATAAATTGTTTATTCTGACCAAATAACACGTTGGTCAAATAACATTATCAGATAACTAAATTCTAGCTTCTCAGCTAGGTGATTATTGTTCTCTACTGTAGATAATTGTGAGACCACAACTTGTATCCCCTTATGTGCATATGTACAGTATTTAAAACATACAGGTAGTCCTCACTTACCGACCATTCATTCAGTGACCAAAGTTACAACAGTGCTGAAAAAAAAAAATTTACAGCCCATTTATGACCTTGTCTGACACACACACACTCATACACACATACACACCCCAGAGCGAAGAGATTGGAGAGGAAGAGATTTCAAGAGAGTAAGCTGTTTGCTGTTCTACACATCGAAAGCAATGTGATCATGCCGGCAGCAGGAAAGGGTCAGGCAAAGGAGAGATTGCCTACAGAAATCACTTGCTTTTTTTCTCACCCCCTGCCCCTAGAGTGGAGAGATTGGAGGCGACAAGTTTTCAAGAGAGTAAGCTGTTTGCATAGTGTGCCTGTGTCTCTCAGCCCTGAGGTGCTGGTGCAATTGCATTGTTTTCTATGTGTACAAGACAGTAAGCTGGCAGACAAGAATTCCAAGGGTGGGGGAGTAGTTAGGAGGCCAACAAAAGCCAAAGGTGTGAAACTGAGTAGTCTTGTCTCTTTTGGGCCAGAAAGCACAGTCATGGTCACATGATTTCCCACTTAGCAACTGCTTTGCTTAGTGGCAGAGTTGCCAGTCCCAATTAGGGTCATTTAGTGAGGACTACCTGTAATGGCGATTATGTGACTGAGGGATGCTGTGAAGGTTGTAAATACAGGCATTGGTCTTAAAAGTTATTTTTTCAGCACTGTTGTAACTTTGAACGGTTGCTGAACAAGGTAGTCAGTAAGAAAGGTCTACGTTGCGTTTATTGTACAAGTTTTTTCCTACAGTGAGAACAGGACCACCAATGCACCCAAGCAATAAAAAAAAGAAGGAGGAGGGATACTTAATCAGAGAAGCCATCAGTATTTATAATCCTTCTCTCATATTCCTGCCTCTTTAAATTTTGTTTATCTGAACTTTCTATATGACTTGTGCTTCAAAAACTGGAGAAGAGAGATTTCTCTTCCCGAAGGAACTGATGTAAGAAGACTTTCTAGCCTGTGAGTAGGAGAGAAGTATACTCTTCAGACTACCTGTCTCAATTGTAGGGAAAATATCTTCACAGTAATTCTAATGTCCCATTTAGAGAATCTGTGAATTGTCAGCAGACATTAAAGTGGTATATTTTAAATAATGTCAATGAAAGAGAACAACCACTTATTTCTAGGAATGGATTAAGAGGAAAAATTATATGCATTGTATATTGTAGGGGTTCTGATACCTTGTGATAGCTATTCCATGATTAACTTAAATTCCAGCTTTGCCTTTCTGGAGGTAGAACATCCATCATTCACATATATGCATATGTTGGAATGTGGAGGCCATAACTTTGATATCTGAAAAAGGTGGGCATGCTGAAACTGAATTTAAAATTACATTACGGACTTGGAGTTGTATCAAATAGCTTTGTTATTTCTGTGTTTGGACAGGGTGGACCAAGCAAGCTTGTACAAAAACATTTGGCTGGGTTATTCAAAAGTATTGCATCTTTCTACCATCCCTCAAATAATGGCCGTTGGTTGGTAAGGATATATCTGTTTTTTCTTTTAATCTTGACACACAACTTTAAATATTGTGTTGATGTAGAATTTTGACAGTATCCATTTTCTTCAGCCGCTAATTTCAACAAAACAATGCTGAATATGATTTTAAAACATATTTTAAGAGCAGCAGCAACTCCTCCTCCTCCTTCATAGTGCCATCAATATACATAATGCTTATAGGAAACAGAGTTAATCCATTTGTTTTTCTAGAGACGTCATGATCTAAAAACAGATGCAGGACTACAGTAAAGAAGCTGGTACAATTAGGGCAAGAATATGCACCTATTTTTATAAAATTAAATAGGGTCCTACATACTCTTCAGAAAAGATGACTATTGAAGAGGCCCTGGAAGGGAAAAAGAGGTGTCATCACAATAGTATTCTGGCAGAATTTCCAGATACGAGCAATAGCAAGGATGAAAGGACCAAAAAAGCCAGAAATTTAATTTAAAAAGTAAATTACAGACTTGACTTTAAAAATATAACTGTCAAAATCAGTGTTCCATTCTACTACTGCCCCCTGAGTAATGGATTATTTATTTATTTATTTATTTGTTATTAAATTTATATGCCGCCCATCTCCCCCACAGGGTGACTCTGGGCGGCTTACAATTAAAAACCAAGACAATAAAAACAATAAAAATATAAA